GTCGAACGCTCCCAGCTGTAACGCCCAGCGGGTCAATTTACTGTTGGTGTCCCGCGTGTGGTGTAACCACTTAAGCGCTATGCTGTCCGTGAGCAAAGTAAATTTTCCGTCTAGGTATGGTCGGAAGCGATCAACGGCCCATACAATGGCTAGACACTCACGTTCTACGGCTGAATACCGTGTCTGAGCGGGAGAAAGTTTTCGGCTGGCATATGAGATAATCCTTCTCTGGCCGGTTTCTTCCCGCTGAAACAGTACGGCACCGACTCCTATTTCACTTGCGTCCGTTTGAACATAAAACGGTTGTCCTTGAAGTGGGGGATAGAGTCGGCGCGCAGAGATAAGTGCTTCTTTAAGCTTTTGGAAAGCGTCTTACTCTTGTACCGTCCATCGCCACTTAATTCCATGTGCCAAAAGATTAGTCAGCGGAGCGGTAAGTTCGGTGTATTTCGACATGAACTGACTGTACCAACCGCATACTCCGAGGAACTTTTGTAAATCTTTGACTTTCTTCGGTACGGGGAATTCGGCGATTGCAGTTAGTTTCTCCGGTTCCCGGTCAATTCCCGTCGAATCAACTATGTGTCCGAGGAAATTTATACGGTTTACACCGAAACTGCATTTTTTCGGTTGAATTGTCAACCCATGTGTTTGTAACCGTTCCAAGACTCGTTGTATGTGGTTGAGGTGTTTCTTCATATTCACCGAGTACACCACGATATCGTCTAGGTACACAAACACAAATTTACCGACATATCCACGCATAACCTCGTTTACCAACCGTTGAAAAGTAGCCGGGGCGTTTTTAAGGCCAAAGGGCATTACTTTAAATTGGTAGAGGCCCATTTGTGTGCGGAATGCGGTGAGTGGTCTTGACTCCTGAGTCAAACTGACCTGCCAATAGCCAGACTTAAGGTCGATGGTGCTGAAGACGTTAGCGCCACCCATTCCACGGACCATTTCGTGTAAGTCAGGCATTGGATGTGCGTCGGATTCTGTTTGGAGATTCAGTCTCCGGTAATCCACGCATAATCGCTGGGATCCATCTTTTTTCTTGGCAAGAACTACGGGAGCTGCCCATGGCGAGGTACTAGGTTCTACAAAACCTTGCTCCTCCATTTCTCGCACCATACGTGTGATGGTATCCTGTTTTTCACGATTATAAGGATATGCGTTTAAAGTAGCCGGAGTTTTCTCTTTTAACCGGATGTCATGTTCAATGACTCGGGTCCTCCCGACTTCTCCGGAGAAAACCTTCGGGTACTTGAGTAATATTAACCGGACATCTTCCGGAAACTCCCCTTCCGGGATAACCATCTTCGGTTCGGTTTCCCGTTTGATTGTCGGTTTTCTCCAGCATACCGTCGCTCTTCTTTCTGTACCCATGTGGATTGTACATGCTCGGTAGTCCCATGCCACTTCTTGTTTCACCAAGAAGTCATGGCCCAGTAACACGTCACCGATAAGATGGTCGAGTACCGCGGCTCTGAATTGAACTTCAATGTCAGACACCTGTGCAGTGAACTCCGCGTACTCATGAACTTGCAAAGTTCGGCTGTCAGCCAATGTGACCATACTCGGCTCTCCTTTTATTGGTTTACCAAACTCATGTGCTACCCACGGTAAAACATAAGATCCAGTTGCTTGTGAATCTAGTAGAGCCACCACAACTTTAGTCGGAAACTCAAGTTCAATGGCCGGCAGTGGCACATCGTACTTTTTCGGTGCTCCGGTAGTTGTAGCTCTTTTACCGTTCGTGTTTGGGTTAGAAGAGGTAATATTACCTTGTGAGATTTCTTTCACCAGCTTTTTCTCGGGTAACTTATTGTATTTTGGGTCCTGGTCGGACGCTGAACAATAACCCTGTTCGCTAGGAAAGTTTTCTCCGGTAAATAAATCTGCGGCTCGGACCCTGAGGTCATAAAGTGAGTCCGTATCAGATTTCCTTCGGTTCCGCGCAATACCAGTGATAGGAGTCAACTCCTTCGGAAGTTTTAACGGGAAAGACTGTGGAACTGTTAACAACTCATGTGTTAACTGGTCTTGTTCCAGGTCTTCCAGAGATTTGTTCGGCAAACTGTTCTCGGAGAGAGCCGCTTGTGTTCCTTGGTCAGGACGTTTTGCACTACTCTCCTGTGTTTCCGAAACTTCTCTTTTTGCCGTACGTTTCTTCCGTAAGTATNCGAAACTTCTCTTTTTGCCGTACGTTTCTTCCGTGTGTACTCCGTTTCTCCGGATTCGATAGCGGCGAGCTGCATATTTTTGCGCTTCTCCGGTGCCTTTTTGGGTTCCTGGTCGGAAACTTCGGTACCGGGCTTGCGCTTACGGTTCTTTGGGCGGGCTAGTTTTTCTTGTCCGATCGGTTTCCCGTGCTCGTCGTTTTTCTTTCCGGGCAATTCGCCCACCAGTGCCCAGTCCGGTTGCAGTTTTTACAACGTGCCGCTCCGGACGGGCTTTTTTCCGGTCTAATAACCTCTTTCTCCGGTGGCGGTTTCTTATTTGCCCATTTGAAGCTATTCCCTTCCGCGGAATACTTCTTTTCTTCGGGCCGCCGTTCCAGAGAAAGGTCCTCAACGTCCAAGTCGCTAGCCAGCTCTAGCAGATCTTCCATTGACCTCGGGCGTCTCACTCTTGCGTGGACCCGATAGTCACTGCGCATAAGCCCTATGATTAGGTCGACCAACTCGTACTCTGTGAGCCTTGAGTCGAGACGACAGGCTAGCTGGCTCTTCCACATTACAAACTCCCCTAGGGATTGACGTTCGCCTTGGTGAGCACTGTGGAGATCATTGCGTACTTGGGTAAGTATAGCAATGCTATTGAACCTCCTCAAAAATTGTTGTCGGAACACTGTCCATGTGGGGTTCAAGCAGCGTATAGTACCCCACCAGTTACCTGCCTCTGCTTTTAACTGTGGGGACAGTACGCGTACCCACTTCTGGTGTGGTACGTTCGCTTCGGTTAGGACCATTTCAGCCTCTTCAATGAAAGCGTTGGGGTCCTCTTGTTTCTTTCCGGAAAACTCCGGCAGAGAATCACGCGCCAACGTTAGACTGTCGTGGGACAGTAGCGACGTTTCGTTAAAAGTAACGTGTCGTTGCTCCCTGGTCCTATTGTCCGGATGGGAACGACTTTCAGATCGTTCTACTCCGTTATTACCGGTCATTCCTTGGTTTGAAACAAAAATGTGGTGTTTCTGACCGAAGGAACTCGAATTTTCACCGGAGAACTGTATGTTCTGGTGATGTTCCTCGGTCGTCCGGTTACTTTCACCGGCAGAATTTTTGTTTACACCGGAAGAACAGAAACTTTCACCGGAGAATTGTCTGTTTCGGTGCTGTTCTTCCGAAATCCGGTCTAATCCACCGAAGAAAACAGAATTTTCACCGGCGTAGGGGGGTCCCGGTCGGTGTAAATTCTGTTTTCTTTTATAAAATTACTTTTTGTGCCGATGAATATACATGGGATTCATTGGACAGTGGTTAATGTACCTGAAAAGACATGGACATTACAAATAGGCGAGACATCTTGACAAACTAATGGATATGATTGTGGGCCATTTACTGTTGAGCTGGCAGAAAAAATGTCTCGAGAAGATACAACACCAATAAATGCAAATCTTATGCCTTTTATAAGATTAAGATACAAAAATGAAATTATTGCTGGACAACTATTCTTTTAATATTTTTATGAATGATATTTTATTTTTATATTTTATAACAATTTTCTTAATATTTAAAAAATTGAAATTTTTATTTGTATGCCACTAAAATTTTTTTTACTTTTTCTATGTTTAATTGTTGTTTTTTTAATTTATTTTTCTTTGTAACATTATTTCATTAAAAAAATTCAATTTTTACTATACCCACTAAAGGACGGTTAAGCCCAAACACTAGCCAGCTCGTACACTAATTATTAAGATTGACTAAAGGACCAGCAGTCCAACCTAGACTCTAGCCGCACACACACACACACACACACACACAATTTCGAGATCACCGTGAATATTAAATATTTGCGCTAAGTCAAGATTTTTAAATAGCTATTTTATTTACGAAAAGTATTAAACACAAAAGTCAAATATAATATAATAATTTAACACAAAAATTAATTAAATCTTACAAAAAGTATATAGTTATTCTTACGCCAACAACCTTACCCGCAACTCGACGTTTCTTCGACAAAAACGTCCAGTCTCGTCTCGCTCAGTCTCCCTATCCTCTTCATGTTTCCCTTTTATATTCTTTTTCCCACCATTATTAATTTGCTTACCCTGCATTTCCCTTTTATATGGAATTATTTTATTGCTTAAGAGTTCAAAAATTGCTTACTACTATTGTAAGGCTTATATTATACTAAAATCGACGTAATTCAATACTTCCTCATATAATTACTACACATTATTTCATCAAAGAAATTCAAATTTAATATAAATTTATCTTAACTGAAGTAATTAAATGTTCTTCTTATGTGAATATACAAATATTATAATACAGCTATGGATACAATTAAGTTAAAAAGTCAGCCAATTATACATTTTTCAGTTAACAAGTGTATCTTCTATTTTAACAACTTAATTTTACTAAATGATGATTCATAAAGAATTTCATAACTTTTGTTTATTTTTTAAATACTATTTAATTACAAAAAATTATTTTCTGTATTTTTTATGTACGCGATATATTGAATAGAGGTAATTAGGTACTTGTATTTTAATCCCTTTATATATTAAGTTGTATATTTAATAAATTAATGGTATGTTAAAAATTCAAATCCCATTTACCATAAAAATAAAACCTTAAACATTTTATTAAATTAAAATATGTGTTCCCATTTGAAAAAAACAAATTTGACACCCTTACAAGGTATAATAGATGAACTCAAAAAGTATTATATAGTTAGTAATTAAGAATAATATGTAACTGAAGGTAACCATAAAAAAAAAGTTTAAATTTTTTTTAATCTGTATGTAATTGAATGGGTTATGATATNGCGTCGGGCGCTCAATATACGAAAAATATAGCACAAAGCACCCACGCTTTTATCACAATAATACTAGTACTTTTCGTTCATTATTGTTTTACGCTTATTTTAAAAATTATTTTTAACTTTTTAGTTCGATGTTCTTTAAAAGCGTGTTTTTTAGTTTTTTTAAACTATATTTATTTTTCACTTTTTAGTTACATGTTATGATAGTAGTTACTATCAATATCATGGTTGTAACGGGTAAAGGGGAATCAGGGTTCGATTCCGGAGAGGGAGTCTGAGAAACGGCTACCACATCCAAGGAAAGCAGCAGGCGCGCAACGTGGAGGTAGTGACGTAAAATGACGATACGGGAATCATCCTTTGTAATCGGAATAAATACCCTATATATCTCTTAATGAGAATAAAGCGTATTAATATATAAGTTTTAATAGTAATTAGAATATATATTTATATATATATATATATACATGTAAAGCGACTTAAGTACGTAAACGTATCATGCACGAGGTATAGCTGTGTTTTGTTGGCGGGCGGGGCGCGAGGCATATATGGCGGTAGCGGCGTCGGCTGTAGGGATATATAAATGAATATTAACATATACGTATATATAAATAATAATATATATATGTATATATATATTAATATTAGCGGCGATGGTAAGAATATATAATCTTCGCATAATAACGTAGCACTTTCGTTGGCGTCGACGACGCGATGTCCGGCGTGATCCTCGGGCGTCAAAAGGTTAGCAGCGTTGATGGCGACAGTACGCGAGTGGAGATAGGTTTATTGACGTTGCCACTTTGACAACAGGAAGAATACTACGGTATCCTTAGCGGCGGTACGTCGTCGGCCGTGCGGCACTTGCTGGACTTTGCACCGCGGCGTATAACGCGCGGTGTTGGTCAGTCAAATACTCAAAATTATACAGAAAAAAATAGTGTTGGCACCGACTGGTGAGCGGGGTGGGGTGAATGCGTTACGACGGTCTAGTCTCAAGGTCATAGACGACGGCATACGCGACATAATAACACGTGCCGCGTGGAGTTACAAACTTACAACATACAACATACAAACAATATACATGTGAAACTAATATAAGCGTGTTAAAATCATTCTGTACTATTCACGGAGTCGTAGCATGATTTTGTCTTCTCCTATAAATTACTTCTATTTATTTTAACAAAATAGAACACGACGGTTTCAAAATAACAACTGTTAGAGGAAAAATTTTTTTTTAATTTTTTTAAAAATATTTTTTTAAGTTTGAAGTTGATCTTGTAGTGGGTAGAAAGCGTTGATGGTAACAGGTAGATATTTAATTTTAATTTCACCACAATTTTGTGATGTCTAACTCTAATTTATCATTTCATTATTTAATTATCAGCAATTGGATAAATTAATTTTTCATTTTATTATTGGTTTAATTTAGGTGGTTCAATTCAGATAATATCTATTTTTTTTTATATATTATATGAAATGAAAATCAATAAAAGAAGCTATAGAGAGCCTTTAGAAATAGGGTTTGACAAAATAACGAAAACCAATGCCGTAAGTTATCAAGAAACATTTTAAAATGTATATTTATCAAAAGGTGACAATGTAGGAGGTGAGTAGTGCAAATGACGTTCAAGAGGAGAAAAGAACGGGGTGATTGTACACACTAATGCCGTATATGAGTTGATTTGAAGTAATACACAGCTGACACATCTTGAACGCCCACAAACAAATCACATCACCTTATCATAGTACGGTAGATAATAAACATGTGTTGCAAAGACGTTTATTCGCTGTCGACTCAATCAAAGGTATTCCATCGTGATTCTGTGTTGATGGCCAAGGCATGCACCACCGGTTTCGGTGGCGCTGTTGTCAACACCGACAACATCGCGCGTGTCTGTACCTATGGACCAGTTGCATTTGCACCACCATCGGCGCGGGCTGATGTAAGAATGTGTTTTTTATTGATTGTTGTTGTTACTTGGTTTGGTCAGTAACGGACATAACAAAATCATATACACAAACGGCACCTATTACATGTTTTTACCATTCACGGAACATATCGAGTTGCAAGGCAAGGCGGCTACAGGTCGGTTCATTTATATTTTTAATGTATTAAAAAAATATATGTACCCTTATTTGCTATTTTTAACTACCCATTTTATAATTGGTTAATTAATTTAAATAAACCTAGATTAAGTATTACTTTGTCTTTTAATTTAGGTTTTTCTGTAAAAAAAACAGTGTTTGTTTTATATTAATGTAAAATTATAAAAAATAATTAACATACAGTCCAAAATATTGGGTTTTATTTTATTTCCTTTTTTTTATCTTAGAATAATTTCCAACAGTTTTTAAAAGATTGTAGTTTCAAAACAAAAGGAAAATATTAATAAAACATTTGCAAAACATACAAACAAATGAGGGCTCCATTTTTGTAACGTCTCAAGGTATAAATTGATCATGGCAGATAAAAAAAGAACTGTAAGCAATTCGGAAATCGGACGATTGGTGTTTGAGATGCAAAAAAACATTGTAAACATTATGAATAGACGAAGTGACAGATGACAGTCGTGGAAGATTCTCAGTTGATGATATATGGACTTGACTGAACCATACGTAAACGAATGGTAAGAGAAGATCAGATGATAAAAATTATCGTTCTCTATCCAACAGACTACTTAACTAATCTAACCAAAGGGTTAGTCAAATTTTAGTTTGTAAAAAAAAACAAAGCATTTTTTAAGAGTGATTAAAGGTTAGTAAAACAACAGAGATGTTTATTTTATATGTATATTTAAACATCTGTCTATTATAATAATTATAGTAATAACTCTTTTAAGCTTAGTAAAAAGAAAAAAAATGTTTTTAATAATTCTAGATTTTATTTTGAATACAATGTAAGGCGTATAAATTTTTTAATGACTTCCATATCTATAGATTCATTTTCAGTTGTCCGTTTAAAATTTTTTAGTGTAGTTTTTTGAAAAGTATTATAAATTAAGCTTTTTGTTTTTCAAATTAATCTTCCTTAATGTTTTTTAAAGCATTTTCATAATACTCCATAGAATGAAATATCAAATCCTTTTCTGGTCGTATCATCGAACGCTAAAACAAAAAAACCTATTTAAATTCTTCGAAAATATCATTAAAAATAAAATAACAACATTATATTTATCATATTAGCGCTTAAAAATACACTGTTAATGTTACATGCAAACGATCTTTATGGCTTATAAAATAAGTTTGCTGTGAAATTCCTTTCCAATAATAAACCTAAATGATATATTCCAAATAAAGTATAAAAAGTATAAACTATAAAAACCCATCACCACAGTGAGATCGTGGCACAGTTGGGTTCAGTATAGATGTAATCTGACAGTGATTAAAATCACAATCATAAGAAAAGCATTGATGCAAATCTGTAGATAATGTTTAATTCTAAGAAATTGGTGGATAATTACAATAGCAACATCAACTATTTCCTTAATTATATGCAGATTAGTAATTCTTAGATTCAAAAATATAATATAAAATTATATACTATATAATTGTTATGTTGAACTGTTTTTAAATTATTATTGATTTTGATATTTAATATGTTAAAAGTCATAATTTTTAACCTAATTTATTTCGTCCTTTCAAGTGAAAGTTTATAATAAAAAATGAATTTATTACCATAACTTTTAGATCAATTCGCAAGTTTGAAATTGACATTATTAAATATAAAAAAATGAAATTGTTAAGATTAATATGCAGTCAGGAAATTTTATAATTACTGTTTACAGTAAATTTATCAGAAAAGATTTTTTTTTTTTACATTTTTATCTTAATAGAACACTTAAATACAAATCATGGTAATCATTTCTAATTAACTTTTGGTGTTTAATAAGAATCTACAATGGAAATATTCAGAATTTAATTAATTTTAATGATTATTTATCTAAAAAAAAACAATAAAAAAAAAGTTGTTAAAAGATTTACTCAATTGAGCGTATAATAAAATTTGATTATAATTGTAAAAATCCATCGCTAAATTCAAGTGGAACTAAGAATCATTTTTTGTTAATTTATGATTTATATAGCAACATGTTACAAAAATATTTGGAATATTATAGACTGGTAGTAGCACACACAAATAGAGTTAAAAAATTAATAAATTACAAAGTAAAATTATTTACTTTTGTAGTTGAATACTTTTACCATATCAAATCTAATTCGACAATAAATACTTTAAAAATATTAGAAATTAATAATTTTAATTGTTTGTAAGGAAAAAGTTGATTAAGCTACTCTTTATTTGAATAAGGAATATTTTTTTAAATTTTTTTCAATTTTTAAGGGTAATATCTTCAACTAAATATGAATTGAAATCATATGACGTATTGTTGAAAAAAGTAGATCAAGTGAAGGTTGGCAAAATAAACTGTAGCCACAAAAAAATTCACATAGCAAAATAATATTAACATAAATAAGAAATTTCTTCTCACTATGGGAGACTATAGTGATGGGATCCTTGATATTTATTGACGTTATTGAATCTAAATGAGATAAAAATTAGCAATTAAGGCTAATTCAAATTTAAAAGTTACTTTTTCAACTTTAAAAAAGCAAAAAAATTTAAATAAGTTTAATTTTTTATGTCTTATGAACTTTATTCTATGTCAATTAAATGATATAATATTCATGAAAGTAGTGTATTGCCCTTTTAAGATATTTTAAAGTAAAATAAAATACAAAACCCAGGATTTTAACACAAAAATAGTATATTTTTGATGACAGTAGCCATTTGCGTATAGAAGATAGGTAGTTGGGACAAATTATATTTATTTGTTGATTTTTGAAAAAGTAATGGAAGCTTAAAACAAAAAAAGTGAAAAAAATGACAAAATTTATCAATTTTAAAAATTGTAATTTATATGGAGATTTTTCCCATTTGCGGGGAACGAGAGAAAATTTTTCAATTTTCAAAGGTAATTTCTTCAACTAGATACGATTTGTGATGTTTTGACGTATTGTTTAAAGAAATCGGTCTAGTGAGAGCTGAGAAAAAGTGGCAACAGATATAAAAAAAAAAACATCATGGTAAAATTAATACCTTCTCAGCTTCGCATTGCCTCTAAAATATCATACTATATTGATATACCAAAATGTTAAATAATATGAATTTAGATGTATGAGTCCTCTTAAAATCATAGTGTTAAATATCTCTAGTTAATACTTAGTAGTAATTAAATCACAATTTATTTTAATATGTGATAAATAAATAAAACCATGAATAATAAATTAATTTATCATACATTCTTAATTATTCAGATTTTTTCAATAATAATTATATATTAAATACAATTTAAATAAGTATTTAATAATTGGCGTCGAATACAAGTCATTTGTAAATTTTACTTACCCAAATTTTATTTGTTTTGTCGTTTTTAATGACAAACAAGTATTTATAAATTTCCAGTGTACATTTCTTAACATGTTTGAAGCAGACATCATTTATATTTTTGTTAACGCATAAAATCGTCTCCAATTTTTTACATTCTTCTGACATATTGTATTCTTTTGTCAAAATATTGTTAATGATTATTTCTACATTAGCGACTACTAGACTCACATTCATTTTTAATTAAAATGAGAAACATATTCATATTACATTAATATCATAGCAATAATATATTATTATTTTTTTACTATTAAATGGTAAATTGGCTAAAAAAATTTTCATTAGTCGATAGCTAGATTTCTATTATTACTATAGATAATAAGAAAAAAAACTACTAATCTGTACGTTTTCATGAAAAAAAAAATCGGTAAAACAGTGAAGTTGTAGCAAAGTGTGGATGTTGATTAGTTTTTTTTTTTTTTTATTAGCCTTCAATTCAGAAGTATTACTATAGCTAAACAATTAAAATAAAACTATATAATAGAAACTAAGAGTATACAAAAAAATATTGTTATTAAACACAATTAAACATATCGTTAAATTAATAAATTAAACGTACTCAAAATACTAAAAAGGAAAGAACAAAACAAAATATACCTAGGACATTAAATTAACATACGAAAAAATATTATATAACGAAGCCAACTGAATGAACGAAGGACATTATTTGTACAATTATTGAGGAGGATTTTGTATTAAGGATATTAAAACTACTAATGGGTGAAATATTAAGGGAGGACAGGAAATTGAACAAGAGTAAATGGTTATGTTGTAAAGCTGGTCATCAAATAGTAAATGAGGAAAATTATAGGGGACTTCATCATTGTGTTTGGGGCAGAAGGGGGAATGGTTTAGTGACATGTTAAAGGCATGAAAAGGTAGCCGATAATACCAAATATATGTCTGGAAAATGAGGTAATATTGAAACGGGACAGAGGGAGGTTGTAAAACCAAGGATGTTTAGGAATAATTGGAATTATAGATTTATGCCAGTTAGCTAAAGAGAAATTTGACCATTTATCTTGCCATGCTTTATTAATAGTTAGATTATTAGAGGGAATGAGATCGAAAGAGGGAAATTTTAGGATAGGTGGTTGGTTGAAGGAGTTTGTGAGTTTAGCTAGATGGTCTGCTATCTCATTGCCAAAGATTCCGACATGACTCGGGCACCATAAAAATTCAACATTAATATCAATTAAATAGAAACTAGAAATTAAGGCTTTAATTTTGATTGTGAGGAAGGATGTACTTTTTTTAAAAGGTACTGAGGAAAGAGAAGATAAGACTGACAGTAAATCTGAGACAATCAAAACATTTATTATAATGAGTGATTTGACGAATTCGAGAGCCGAGGATATCGCATAAGATTCGGTGGTAAATGAAAAAGCTTTTGAGGGGAGATTATTTAAGAAATTCATGTTTAGACTAGGAATAAAAAAGGAAAAGCCGGAAAAATTAGTATAAACTGATCCATAAGTGAATATGAGGCAATAGTTAGCAAAACGAGAGGAAATGAGTTCATCAAAAAGATAATTAACAAAATTAGTTGGGAGAGATTGTAATTGAGGTTTGTTATAAGAAAAAGATGAATGATTAAAGTGAATTTTTGGAAAATGAGTCAGTGCATGAAATGGAATGTCATATATAGGTAGGCGATTGATTGAGGTAATTATGGAATTAAGGTAGAGAATCAAGGTAGTAGAAATAGAGGCAAGTAGAGAAAGAGTTTTGGGTACATATTGCCTAAGTGAGCTTAGTGAATGAAAATAATGAAATATTAAATTGGCAGGACTGGATATCTGTGATAAGGAATTTATGGGCTAAGTAAAGAGATCGAATTTCAATAGGAGTGCATACACATTCTTCTTCTAAAGTCATATTAGGGGTAGAGTAAACTGCACCTATAATTGTGCGTAAGCAAGTAGAGAGTAGAGAATTGATTTTTTTACGATGAACAGTGGAAGCCGAGGCGTATAAAAAGGAACCATAGTCGATTTTAGAGCACATAAGAGCTTTTAAAACAAGTAGGTGTGAGGAGGGGTGGGAGCTCCACCATGCACCTGCAATGGAACGTAGAAGATTACACCAGCGTGATATGAAAGATATGTGGTACTTAAAAGTGAGGCATCAAGCGGAGTTTTTGATCTAGTTTAAGTCCAAGGTAACACAATCAAAGAAGGATAAGCTAACCCCATCAAGCAAAATTGAAGGGTGTTGTAGAATGTGTTTTCTAGTAAATGTAATAGCTTTGATTTTTTCTGGGACAGATTCAAAATAGGAAAGCTGGAGTACAGAGTGCATTATTTATATTCGATACAGTGACCTGGAGTGAACTATGGGATGAGAAAATAACTATATCATCGGCGTAAAGTAAACTAGAAAAATTATCAGATGTGAGTGATTTGCTTATAGCAGCAGTATATATGTTAAATAAAATAGGACTGAGACAGCTATCTTGAGAAAGATCTCTATAAATAATACGTTGGTAAGAGGGACCAAACGACGATTTAAAGTGAAGGAGGCGACATTTAAATAAAGAAAAGATAAATTTGCACAGCGATATAGGAATATTGATGGAGAGTAGACGTGTCACAAAAAGAGGGATGTTAACAGAGTCAAATGCACCAGGAATGTCAACGAAGACGGCTGTAGTAAATTGGCGGTTACAAAACGAATGGTACACGGGACCAACAAGAGAGGATAGGCATTCCATTGTGCCCAGTTCACGTCGAAAACCAAACGTGTTAGATGATAATAGAGAGTTGGATTCAAGATACCAATCCAGACCGGCTTTTAGCATAAATTCTGTTAATTTAAAGAATGCAGATGAAAGGGCAATTGAATGGTATGCGTAAGTAGCAGCACCACTTTTAGGAATAGGAATTACTTTGAAGTGCTTTCAAGACTCAGAAATAATATTGTTAATTCGTAAATCGTTTAAGATAGTTAAAAGAATATCAAAGGCTTTTATTGGAAGATGTTAAAAAAAAAAATGAGAAATATTATCCAAACCAGCAGCAGCAAATTTCCTAAAAGAAATAGCAAAGGACAGTTCGTGACGACTGAAAGGAGCGGAAAGGAATCTATTATTACTATTATTTGCTAAATATGCTTAAAAATGTAATATAAGTTTATCAGGGACAGGAACGTAAGAAGGTGCAATTTTATTACAAAAATCGTCAAACCAGTCATTGTTGGCGATGGAAGAAGGACAATTTATACGGTTTTTTAATTTTTTAGCTATGGTCCAAAATTCAGAGATGGACGGTGAAGGATATAGAATGTTGCATAAATTTAACCAAGAGTATTTTTTTCCTATTTTAGAATTTTGGTTGTGTTGGAGTTTGATTTTTGATATGTTATGTAGTCATGAAGAGAACCTGAGGATCTGTATTTTTTGAAATGAAAGGAGCGCATTTTAACTGCAGTAGTGCAGGATGAGTTCCACCAAGGAGGAGAATGGCTAAAACCTTTTTTTTTCGAACGCTTACGCAGGATTGAAAGTTTTGCTGCTCTTATTAGGATATCAACAAAATTGTTATAATTTGTTGTAGGGGAGGTGGATTCAGACCAAGATTCGAGTAAGATAGAGACAATTAGAGAGAAAGAGGTCCAATCTGCTAAGTCTAAATTAAACCTTTAATTATCTGAAACAATAGAGGAAGAGTCACAGTTAAGGCGACCCGAACTCTGAGTGGGCTGCATAGAAAGACTTGTTACAATAAGATAGTGGTCGCTATCGTGAGTAACACACAAAACGTACCGAGGGGAGGACAAGGAAATGTTAGGGGAGCATATTGTTAAGTCAACAGCAGTATCCGGGAACGGTAGCCGGTTAGCTCTAGTTGGAGCGCCTGTGTTCAGAATTTAGAAATTATGCTGATTGATAGTTGAGTGAATAATATTGCCTCTATAATTGGAGTTTAGTGAACCCCAGGCCATGACCATTAAAATATCTTGTAATAATAGAGTTATTGGAGAGTAGTTTAAAAATTTCGGAAACTACTAGAGTAGAGGAATTAGATGGAGGAGGAATGTAAATAGTTGAAGAGTGTTATTGTCCGGCATTAATACATTGATACCAACTAAGTCAATAGAAAAGGTATTGAGCATTTGTTTCAGACTGTTATTAAGTGTAATGGGACAAAATTGAATGAGGAATGGATCAAGATGGCGACACCACCATAACCATCTTGTCGGTCAGAGCGGACTGAGTTAAAATTTAGAAGGTAAAAATTTTTATATAGAAGTAACCAAGTTTCTGAGAGTAGAACAATTTGACATTTATTTTGGTGGATAAGAAATGCAAGGTCTTGTGTTCTAGATAAGATACTTCTAATATTCCATTGCAAAATATTTAACATTTAGTTATTGTAGTAAAATTAAAAGGAGAAAATGAAAGGGAATAAATAAATAAATGACAGATACATATAAACCTTATGTTGATGTAAAATAATATATAAATAAAAAGGATATAAATAAGTAAATAAAAATATACACAGGCAAGCGAAGAGACAAATATATGTACATGTACACACATGCGTGTATATATTAAACAAATACGCACATAGACAAATGCATATACATGAAAAGTCAAAGGACAATAAGTGAAAAAAAATAAAATAAATATAATAATAATGATGCTAAAAGGTGATTAGATGAGGAAGTTACTGCAAACTGACATTAGAAGATAAATAGAGAAAGTTAAGGATGCGAGACTCAATTAATTGATTAAGAGTTGAGGGGGAGGATAATGTAGAGGAATGAGTATTGTATACAGTTGAAGAGAGTTGATTAGCCCAAGAAGTGATTCAGAATTTCTCAGCAGGTTGAGCATAGGAGTTAGTGGACATGTATTTGAGAAACGAGCCATTAGGAGAAGTCTAATCATTACTTTTATTAGAGACAAAATGATAGTTGATAGTTTAAAAAACGTACAAATTTCGTTCAAGTTGCTCATAAGTATTTAGAGGGGCTTACAAAAATAGGATATATATATAGAGAGAGAGAGAGACAAAAGTTAGCCTCGCATCTAGCGAAATAAATGCTTAGAAGTGTACTTTTATCGCTATCTTATGAAAACGTTAGGTACATTTAATTTGTACCCTCATTTTATTTCAATATTTTATTAAACACATTATAACGAGGACGTTTCGGTATCGAATGCAGAGATAACGACGAAAAGGCGGTAACTCGAGTTATCGAATAGGAGGCGCGCTCCCCTAATTGACGTCGTTTTCCGTTCCACAGAGTACGAAAAATCGCAAAAGTAAAAAAAGTACCGGTCTCGAGACCACAGAAGAAAATCAGTAATTTTAATCAAGAAAAAACGTAAAATTTTTCCAGGTGGCTCATATATAGAAGGACTTTGTAAAATAGTATATAGAGTGAGATTGGTTTTTAAGACTACGATATTTGCAGATCAAAGTATTTATTATCAATGGTAGTAAAGCACATTGTTGTGAGTTTATAAAAACACTAACTGATAATACAGAAAACATATCTATTGATAGTCATAATTAACAATAAACAATCTGTGACTGTGATAGCGACGTCATAAAAAACCAATTAGCTACCTGTATTTGTAATCCGTGTTAAATATTGATGTTTTTTTAGGTAGTTTTGAAGAAACTTGAGCTCTACTAAGTTAGTTTGAGTTGGGGTATTTGAATTACGTTTTGTGAATATGCGACGAAAACCAATAATAGGAACCGGCGATTCAACCTTCACAAAATTCCTCCTCTGTTGAGGTATCCAGGCGGATGATACCGTGAGAGTATATTAAAATAAGCGGGATTGAAGCTTTTACGTTCATACTAGTTAGAAGGCAAGCATTGGCAGATTTGATAGAATCAAATAAAACTTTAACTCTGGAGTCAATAAGAGTTATTTGTTTCATACCGCCGAATTTGTTGTGGGAAAGTTTCCCAATTTTTAGCGGGCGTAATTTGGCGATACTTTGTCGCTGACCATGGATACAACGATAATTACCGGGGTCCCGTTAAAATTGTTCGAAAAAGATTTCAGGTTAGAATTTACACTCGAATTATTAGTAATTTTTTTTTACGGTACACGAATGTATTGTTTCAGAATCATTGTTTACTATATTTGGCGTATTTGTGTTATATATATCAAGGTCGCTATTGTTATTCATAACATTATCGATATCCATAGTATTAGAATTACTATCCAACGTTAGAGTAATGGCATCACTAAGATATGCCGTATTAGTTTCATTCTTATCGGCCGATTCTTTAATATTGTACTGAAATTGTATGTTAGCTGGGAGTAGTTGCAGTTGATTATCTAATAAGTATTGTAGATTCGGAGAAACCGGGCTGGTAGGAAGTTTTTTAGACTTACGTTTCGCACTGGCAGATGACCATTCGTCGGAGTCTTTTCGATTTTTGTGCAAAGTTACTTTTAATGGGGCCAGAACCGTTATTAGGTGGACGGCCCGGTCCACCCGGTGAATTGGGCATACGGAAACTTAAAAAGAAGAAATTATGCAAGACTACTTATGTGAGTTAGAGATATACATCTAAACGCGATAATACTATTCGTATAAGGAAAACCGGATTCACAGGTGCGTAATAATAACACGACTTATCGCTACGATAGCTGAAGCCGAACTGATGTTGAATAGTTGGGACAAGTATAAATGAAATCTGACAGAGATAAAATTACTAATGAAATGCTTCCATGCAAATCTATAGATAGTGTTTAATTTATAGAATAAATTGTTTGATTATCCCAAAAGCAAAATGAAATACTATTTTTCAGAATTATATCCTGATTACAAGTTTTATAATTTATAAGTATAATAAATGAATAAATACTTATAGTAATTAAATTTAGCATGAAATTGATATTCATTAATTTAATATTGTAATTTTTACGTAGAATTTAGGATATAGAATATAGTTCTAAATATTTCAATTATTGCATTTATTTAAACACCAAAAGCTAAGAGTAAATAAAATAATTTATCATAATAATTTTATTCATTATTATGAATTAAATCATTTAATAAAAGGTACTCACCGTTATTCCATAATGTGTTATCTAAAAAAAAAAAAAGCCAGGTCATTAAGAAATAAATTTAGTTAAATGTTTCAATTTTGTTTTATTCTATTACAAATAGTAAAAGTACAATGAGCATTGACAACAGTCAAAATATTGCCCTAGTACTGGTAACTGACCATTGGCTAGCCCGTGTACTAATATAGTACAGCCTGCCGTTTTATTTAAATACTGTTCCAATGTTGGTGATCGATACTTTATTGTCTTTACTGCCAGTGTACTGGCGTAATACTCATTATAAAAAACCCCCATTATTAATCTGTCAGTGCGGAAAATCGTTATTATCCCAGACACATGCCAGCATTGGTTGGTTGACAACTGGTTGCCGCTACTGCAGCAGAACTACCAGTGCTAGTATATATCTAGGATGAAAACGCTTTTTCAAACATGTAGACAAGTACTGGAGGTTTTGTATTACAGTATTATGCTAGTACTCTGTCAGCAATGGCGTTATGATGACAGCCAAGTATTAATTGCCAGTATTGAATCAGTTATTAAACAAGACGTTATCCAGATCAACACCAGTACGGGTTAGGCTAGCCAATGCTATTTCTATTACTGGCATAGTACTACGTTCGTTGTCAAAACTGATACTCATCAGAAACGTATGCTTGGGCTCCATTGTATTTGTTTGTATGTGATATAATTAAGTAAATGAATTAACGACAATAACTATTGGACTAGTATTTCAGAAGTTATTCACACTTTTATACCTAGACTGGAGAAAGGAGTGAGGTTAAGAAATTTCTAGTTACAAAAATAGAGGCACCCTCTTTACCTTCAATCATAATTTTAAGTCGATAACTTTTGAAACACTGGTCTAAAGTTGTTATCTTCATAGATAATTAAATAATCTAGTTAACTATGCATGTTGTTATTTGAAAACATAAAGTTGTTACTCTTATAAGATATAATTGATGAACATAAAAAATACTTGATAAATTAAGGAAAACGTGAAACTTAAAGAAACCAAAAAAAATTTATCAATATTATTTTTATTTTCCCACTGAGCGGTTTATGATAAAATAATTACTCTGCTAGTAGCATGAAATTAAATATTACTTGACCTATAAAAGGAAAAAGTTACATAAAATATATACCATGTCGAGAAACGGTGGGATTTTGGTAGTCCATAACTTTACCAATAATGTAGTTATAAATTATAAATCACTCAAGTATAATTCAAAAAAGTATCAAAGATTAATAAAAATAATTTCTGTATAAATTTTAATATTACTATTTATAAAATCAGTAGGAATAGTAAAGTAGTCGGCATAACAATACATTGTTTTCGTTATTGCATCAGTTCTATTCACATTCACTAAATTCGACGCCGTTGTGGTTAGGTCGAGGTGTATAATTTCTGGCGTGCTTGCTGATGCACACGTTAAAACCTTGAAAAATAATTGACACATTTATATACAAGATATGATTCTAAAAAATCTTAATGCTTATATTTTTAATTATAATCTTTACTACAAAATAAAAATAATAATATATAATATAATATTGAAAAAAATTCCATTAACATTCAGTCCCTTAAGAGAAAGAACATGTGTTACTTAGAAGTGCTAAATTAATCATTTACTAATAAAGTTTTATTTTTTTTGTAGAAGAGCTTTACAAACAAAAAAAAAGGTTAATTAACCAATCTAATGTTTTTCCAAAGCTTCAAATTTACGCTAAAAGTAATTTTACATATTATTGATGGCTAAATTGAAAAAAAATATTTTATCANCAGATGGCAGCACATGTGCAAAGTGTGAGTTGGATTTCATCGGACTAGTGTAGGTTGGGTTTCATCGGACTAGTGTACGTTGGGTTGCATCGGAGTAGAATACAAGGGGTTTGCTCCATTCCCCTCCCCTTCCCCCTCACCCTACTAGGGCGGGAGGGGTATGTAAGGCAGAGGGGTATGGCTGCCATACATTATTATACTACTATCAATACTTACGAAAATTGAATATATTAAAGGAAAAATGATATTCATGTTGTTTCTCTAACTTGAAATTTATTCTATTAAATAATTTATTTAAAATTCTATACCTTTTTAAACAAAATTTTTTTTACAAATATTTCAAAGTAGAAATATTTACAACTGAATAAATATTAAATTGTTATATCAATTAATAGCTTCATATATGTAGATCAAATTTATATTCATAAGATTAATCACATTTTTTACTCATAATTATATTTAGAATAGTATGTTAAAATGTTTAAATGACATAAATATTTTAAATTTAATATATTTGTAAGTAAATAGAAAACAAAACTTAATTCCTATAATAGTTTTCTTTGTGTCTAACTTTAAAATATCAATGTGATAATAAATTTTGTAAAAAATTCTTATTTTATTTTGATAAAAAAAAAACAGGTTGAATTTAATATTAAAAAACGGTAGCACAGTGGGGTCGAGATACACTGTGGACGAGGTATAGATAGGACAAGTATAGATGATATCTGACAGTGATTAAAATTACTATCATAAGAAACGCTTCGATGCAAATCTGTAGATAGTGTTTACTTTAGCCTAACCCGTACTGGTGTTGATCTGAATGTAATGCAAGATCAGAACACAAAATCCCGTGATCAGTATAATGCACCTTCATTTAAGTCGCCTACATCTTGGTATACTTCAGACACAATTAATGAGTACATTAAAATGATAGTAACACGGTCAGAAGGTGAAGTTTATGCAGTTGTCACTGATTTTATTGTACGTATATCTTCGAGGAGGTTATCCAGCTGTAAGAAGATGGATAAAAAAAGATATTCACACAATAAAATTACTTTTTGTGCCGATGAATATACATGGGATTCATTGGATATTGACAGTGGTTAATGTACCTGAAAAGACTGTGACATCATATGATAGTCTTAAGTCGTATGAGGGTCCTTATTCAAAGGTATTCAAAAATTTCTTAATTGAATGGAAGATGGACAAAAAAGGAAAAGCTTCTACATGGACATTACAAATAGGCGAGACATCTCGCCAAACTAATGGATATGATTGTGAGCCATTTACTGTTGAGCTGGCAGAAAAAATGTCTCGAGGAGATACAACACCAATAAATGCAAATATTATGCCTTTTATAAGATTAAGACACAAAAATGAAATTATTGCTGGACAACTATTCTTTTAGTATTTTTATGAATGATATTTTATTTTTATATTTTATAACAATTTACTTAATATTTAAAAAATTGAAATTTTTATTTGTATGCCACTAAAATTTTTTTTACTTTTTCTATGTTTAATTGTTGTTTTTTTAATTTATTTTTCTTTGTAACATTATTTCATTAAAGAAATTCAAATTTAATATAAATTTATCTTAACTGAAGTAATTAAATGTTCTTGTTATGTGAATATACAAATATTATAATACACAGTTATGGATACAATTAAGTTAAAAAGTCAGCCAATTATACATTTTTCAGTTAACAAGTGTATCTACTATTTTAATAACTTAATTTTACTAAATGATGATTCATAAAGAATTTCATAACATACTATTTTAAATATAAAAAATTATTTTTAAGCTTTGTCCACCGGCGAGATGTTCCTTAGAATAAAGACATTAAGCTCTAAGACTGTGTACCCAATAAGAAAAGTTCAGAATAAATATTTAAATTTGGGTTTATTTTATTGTAAAAGTAAAATAATTTTAAAATGTTTGAGGTTTAAAATATTAATTGACATTTGTTTCCGTTATGATAATAAAACATTATTACTTAATGAACAATTAAATTTAAAATAAAAGATTCACCAAAACAAAATTCACTTTAAATTTATTCAGTCTGATTTGAAAAAATGTTCTAAGTACATAAAATTAAAAAAAAAAAACCAAGTGGTTTTAAAATGAAAACCATTCCGCCGTGTCTATGTTATAATTGTATAAGAAAACAATATCTACTTATTTAAGAGTGTTTACAGGATATATCAAGGTAGGAGACTAATCATTTCATAAAAAAATTTTTCTATAGAATTAAATTTTAGGAGTACATAGATTAAGTAGGCATAAAGAAAAATCAAGTTATTAATTATAAGAGTTATTTGACAGAGTTATAGCTTTGATACGTGTCTATTACCGAAGTTAAGTAGGAGATTCATATTAAGCCACTATACTGTTTTGGGTAGACACACGAGGTGACTCAGTCCCACCTATCATCAATAACCGTCAAAACTGGAGGCATTATTGATATTAAAGAGTTGACAATTAATTACAATAAATTAATAAAATAAAGATCATTTTATTTTTCTATCATCTTCTAACTTTCTTATAAACACTTGTACTCATACCCCGAGTAATTATTTACTAATACAATAAAAATAGTAGCCCAACCAAACAACCTTCTCATTTTATTCTTTCTTTTTGAGTTACTACAATATTGTCCATCATTGATAAGATCTCAAAGCTGTACATTTTTTCCACATGCGTTTTTTAAGCGTACGGTTAAAACGTTCGATTATCCATGCCTTTATTGCAAAATTTGTAAGGAAATGATGAATACCTCTCTATATTAGAAAAATTACAAACATTTTAATCATAAAAAATTATTTTCTGTACTTTTTATGTATGCGGTATATTAAATAGAGGTAATTAGGTACCTGTACTTGTAATCCCTTATATATTAAGTTGTATATTTAATAAATAAATAATAAATAATGGTATGTAAATAAAACCTTAAACATTTTATTAAATTAAAATATGTATTCCCAATTGAAAAAAACAAATTTGACACCCTTACAAGGCATAATGGATGAACTTAAAAAGTATTATACAGTTTATAATTCAGAATACTATGTAACTGAAGGTAACCATAAAAAAAAAGTTTAAATTATTTTTATTCTGTATGTAATTGAGTGGGTTATGATATAAAAATCACTCTGTATGCTTATTAACTGAACATAAATATAACATCAACATCTGAATTATTCATGGGGTCGCAGCATGATTTTGTCTTCGCCTATAGATTACTTCTATTTATTTTAACAAAATAGAATACGACGGTTTCAAAATTACAACTGTTAGAGGAAATATGGTTTTTTAAACATTTTTTCAAGTTTCAAGTTGATCTTGTAATGGGTAGAGAGCGTTGATGGTAACAGGTAGATATTTAATTTTAATTTCACCACAATTTTGTGATGTCTAACTCTAATTTGTCATTTCACTATTTTATTATCAGCAATTGGGTAAATTAATTTTTCATTTTATTATTGGTTTAATTTAGGTGGTTCAATTCAGATAATATCTATTTTTTTTTTTTGTATTATAAGAAATGAAAATCAATAAAAGAAACTTTTACTAAATTTTATATAATAAATTTTCTGTTTTTAATTTTTTTTATTCATATATTTAATTTCTATAATGTTCAAAATAAAGTGTCGAAAAATTATGAAAACTAAATATGTTAAATTAATTTGGTACCAAATACATTTTTTTTAAATAATGCAAAATTGTATTTGTGTAGATTACTTACTATATTTTTTTCTAAATTATTGAAGAACAAGTTATTTTTTAATATAAAATATTTAAATATCGTCTCGGGTCTATATAGGTCTGATTTTTTTTGCTATCATCATTTTTTTTGAATCTAAGGTTGTTCTTATTTCATTCTAGTTAATTTTCCTGAGCTGAGTTTTTCATCGTAACTGGATTTTTTGTTGGTAATGTTTAGTAGTTTTCGGGAAAATTTTGAGATATTTTTAAGGGCGTTTAACAATGAAACGATACATTTAAGGTATAACTTTCAAACTATAATAAACCAAAAGAAAAAAGAAGAATTGTTAAATAATATATAAAATATGAAAAGGAAAGAGCGTAATATAATTAAACAATATAAATAAAAAGGGGGTTTTAAAAAGGTGAGTAAACGGTGGCTGAACATATAAGGGCAATGGTCAAATAAATAAAACAAACATTAACGTTCATGACAAAGTATTTTGAATAAATGATGTTAAATATCTCTTACAATATTTTATATTTTATCTTAATGATTTATTACGCAATAGATTATTTGTAGTTTAAAAACATGAATAAAACTTACACTTACTTTACATCCAATGTCACGTAACGATATTTTTTAAAAATCCAACGTTGATTTTGTATTTCAAACTGTGTTTCACCACTGCGCGTTATAAAGTCAATGTAACTCTTAAAGCGATTTAATTTTAAATAATACGATCTCTTTTTAACAAAATATTATTATTATGATGATTTAAATTTCAATTTGAACTGAAAAATTTGTGATCTTTAAGCTTTTAAAATGAAAACAATTCTTATTCCAAATTAAATTTAAAAAAAATTAAGTCCCAGAGAGTGAAGATCTTGAGTAGAATTTCGCAGATTTTGTTTTTGAAATTACTGAAAGAACTGATATGAATAAGAAAAATTGGATTTTTATTGTCAGAGGAGGGTAGCGATTTCTAGCGTGATCTAGGATGCTGGACATTTTAATTAATTTGTTTAATGCGATTGGTTGGACTTAATTAAGGATCAATACATTGGCGTTATTTTAAATCTGTACAACAATTAGTTTTTATCCTCTAGTTGATTGGTTAATTTGTATTTTAAAGAAGGGAACCCTAATTTGGAGATATTGTAAATTCATAATATGTGACATATATGTATAAATGACAACATCATATTATATGCGAATAATATAAGTGATAATGTAAATTAACAAAATGCAGGATTAAAAAAAATGAAAAAATATCTTTGTTGGTACTACTTAAAATTTAAGTAGTTCTACTAAACGAAATGATTTTGAAACGTTCATTTTTGCATAAAATGTTACAAACAAAACATATAAATAAACGATAACAGCTGAAAATATCCACAAACGATTTATATTTGAACAAATTAAACGTCACTAGGTTAATTAATTTTTCTAGTTTATACGGTGCTGGTAAAATTATGTTTGTTCCTAAAATAATAGCTCAATTTTATACATGCACTACGTTCATAATGGATGGTCTGTGGTATGCTCATTATAATAAACACAGTATATAATGGCATATAGTGTTATAGAATAGACTTATATTTTTATACGAGGGCGCCGATGAAATGAGGTTAATAAGAAATTCACGGCTAATGTTTGTT